AAGTAGTGAACACGTACATACCAGATGCTAGCTTTGAAGTCAGTTGAATCACTTGCCCTTATTGATGGTGGTCCTCTGTGACTGTACTGCACACCCGTTAGATCAAGAGGTGGAATGCTATAATCATGTCTAATTGACATATTTGAATTTCCAAAGTCTTGCCACACCCCACTTTTAACATCAGTTCTTGTCAATCTTTTGTCATCACTACTGTTTCCTGCAGCTGTTGCTGGGTTTTTCATATCACTAGGTTCATCATAGCTGGTCAACAATGTGCTGACGTTACCATTTAACTTGTCTGAACCAATTGGTTCAGATTTATCAAGAGTTTGCAAGGTTCCCTGATTACTTCCATGTCTTGATATATAATGATTTCTTCTTGTGGTTTTCTGCCTTGGTTCTTTTGTAATGGGTGAAATAGGTGGTCGGGCTAGTATTCGAGCAGATGCTGGTGTAGATCGATCTTGTATCAGCAAATCTCTAGGTGAGGAAGAAGGAACTGCAGGAGGGTAATGCCTGTCAAGGGACTGTGTAGACATGCTTCTTTGAATTGGTGTACCTGTGGCTTGCCTCCGATCTGAAGACTGCCAGTTTCTTGTTGAATTTAAAAATGAGGTTTCATTATTTGTTGAAGACAAGAATTCCACAGATGGACTCTACAAGAGAAAAAGCCTGACTTGTCAGTAATACTCTGTCTCAGAATCAAAATCTATTTCATAACCCCAAAGTACTTTAAATTTATTTATGGCTAGAACTCAGTTTGCTTTGTTTTCAGCTTAACTCATTAATCACAGTCAACTAAAAAGTCCATTTTATATACAATTCTATGAGACGTAAGTCTTGACAAAGACTGGTGAGAAGGTGAGACTATTTTTTTTTTTTTTTTTTTTTGAGAAGGTGAGACTATTATCTTTTCTGAATGCCCAAGACTTTCTAAGCCTTGCAAAAGAAATTAAGATGTTAATATGAGACAGTAATCTGAAAATATCTGTAGTGACATCATATGATCATCAACATGTGACTAAAAACTAGCATAATGCAGGCTTGATATACTGGCATTTGATAGCAGAGCTCCGGTGGCCCAAAGGGCCGCCAAGCAGAGCCCCATACTCATATAGGAAAGAAAAAGAAACCCATGAGTCGATTTTCTCATGGTTATCATGGCTAGCGGTATTGCTCGTGGGTGCGTACGCACGATGATGACAACAACGATGACGATGACAGCGGAGTTGCCCAACATGGCGGCCATACTCCAAATAATAGGTTGACAGAGACATGCAGCCTTGGTTTACCGTGTACTTCCTTGATATTGGACACCCATGTTATGATCAATTGACACCAGTCAAAACAAAGTATCCGCTGACCAGTATCACGTGACCATATCACGGGCTCAAGTCTACAGCTCCTAGAGGTCAAGTGTTTTTTTGAAGTTGACCGCTGACCAAGTGCCGGTGATCGCTTGGATCGCGGGCTCGTATTGGGTTAGCTTGTTCTAAACAGAGCAGGATTGTTCGGAAGCCAGTCTACGCCAACCCCGGATTAAAGTTAATCGAGTTATAACTTTTCCTTCTATACAAATGTTTTTTGCTGTTTTGTTTTGTGTATATGGTGATTATTAAAACTCAAAACAGAAGGCCAAACAATATACAGAAACCTCACCACAAAGTTGCAAAACTCAAATCAAAATTCTAACTTTTTCTGGATTAGCTTAATCGGGCTTTGAACAACCCTGCCCAGGAGCTACGTTTTTAGACTGGCCTAAATCTATATATTTATCTTGAAGGTAATCAAATTTTGTAAGTGAATGAAGAAAACAAAGAAATCATGTTAGAATTTAGGTCCTGCGGTTCTGATGTTATATTGAAAATGCATATTTGCTTCATTCTCTCCCTTTGCTTTGGTAAAGAAAGTCAAATAATTTTAATTTATTCATCAGTTAAAATATTTTAGAAAATCTGTCACTACTGTAATGAACATAGCCATTGCCATCTCCTTTACAACTGAAATATTTTCCTGTGCAGTCCTTAGCTTGTGTTGTAATATTGTTGAGCATACAATCATGTCCTCTTCAGTACAAGCTCAGTCATTAAAGCCCAGGGGAACTCCCATGCAAAAAGGTCAGGAATGCATGGTTCAGTCTCTATTTGGCCATTACTAGGGCAGATCTAGAAGGTTCAGGAGGTCAGTTGAAACCTCTTAAATTTTGAGTTGGCCTCAGTCAATTCCAGACATACTAAGGCTCGATTTCCGCCACTTTCTCGAGTCCAGTCTATGTTCCTCCCCAAGAAGAGATGGCTGGATGCGTGAGCGGCAAAGCATGTCTGTGACGTTAATGCATAATTTAATTCTTGCGGTGCTTCAGGTGGCCAGAAATGTCATCTGATGACAATCATAGGCAGGCCCACATGACGCCTATGGCTCATAAAATTTGTGGTGTTTTCGCCACTTCTTCTTTTTTTAATTTGGGCCCTCCAACCTATTTTGTTTCACATTATAGTTGCAGAAGGGCATTACATGCTGTGTTCTATAGAAGAGTTTTAAAAAAAAGTAGAGCAGAGCTGTTTGACTATGGTGTAGCAACTGTCATGTCTAAGGTCACACATATGTTCATTATCTGACATTCTGGTACAACATGATGATTCAAATGTAGATTCTAACCCATAAGTCTGTTGACTATTTTGCGTGTTGTATATGCCACTGTGGTTTAGATCAGGCAAGATTTCATCAGTTGACAGTATTTGGTTAAATGTCCCACTAATGCGATCTCACTTCATATCGCTTCTTTGCTACTGCAAGAAAGCTAATTTATGCAGCCTGCTCGATTCAGGCAGGCAGATTTCTTATTGGTTGAAATTAACAATACCAAGTCCATGAGTCTAGCCATGAGTTCGCGAGAGGAGTGCGGGCTCCTTTCTCAAACTTCATCTCACCTATCTTCTTCACACTCTGTTGCGCATAAGGCCGCTCCTCCTTTCTTGAACTGTGAGTGGCTGGAAATTGAGCCTATTCCAGACATCCCATTTCCAAGGACTTCAATTTTAAAAATTTTCCAGGGAAGGATGCCCCTGTTATCCCCTCCAGGGGACCGCCTTTGACACTCCGTATCTCAAACCCCCTTCTCTAAAATCCTGTATCCACCCCAGCCGTAAGAGATACCACTTTAAAACAGAAAAGACAGCCTTTTCTCAATATTTCTTCAAGTGCAACCCTGAAAGATTCCTTGATGGCTAAGAATAGTGATGTTTAGTCCAGTGAACACCCTAAATGAGACCAAGATCTGTGATTTATGAGCGTCCCTGCCCTTTTCACATGGAATTTCCCCACTCCCCCCCTCCCACTCCCCCCCACCCAGTCATTAAAGTTTGTCAACTATTGTAGTAAAAATTCAGGACATTTTTTGTGTCAATAATCAAACATCTCACCCTTGTCCTCAATGACGGAGTTCCAGCTCTACTTTCCAAAGCAGCTCGTTTCTTTTGGTCACGAACTGTAGGAAAGATAAAATTGTTACTTTTATTTTTTGGTAAATTTGTTCTAAAATCTTCATTGATAGGCAATCTCCATAATTCAAGTGTAATTCAAGTCTTTCTCCACTAATGAAATTCTTTGGGACCAGTTGAATTTGAATAACATTTCATATTTTCAACAACCCAAATGGATATAGCCAATCTCATCTGATCATTTAAAGGTTGCCATCATGTTGCTAGGTAACTGGATTCATATCATGATCAGCAACTCCAGTGATGACAGGGAACAACTCAACACTTGAAAATGACCAAAACCATAACAGCCAGACCAGTCACCACTATCATAAATTTCTGGTTACCTACATGTTTGTTATACAGTGTAGCTACCAAGCCAGCTTCTTCATTTATTTTCACTTGAAACTAAAGCCCTGTC